ATATGCCAATTTGAAATTTTGTATTGCAGTTAGTACAGGATTGTTGAAAAAACAAGGTAATAATGATGAAAAAGAATGACCAGTTTAAGCAGCGTTCTGAAGTTTTAAAAATACAGTTGAGTCTATGAAAGGGCAGAAAGTATTAATGTAATGCATCTACCTACATCATTTAATGATATTCTTAGTATAAAAACCAACATGTTGATATTGCCTAAAAGGAACACCAGGCTTCTTCTGACCATAGCCCTGAGTTCCAGACTCATCTCATGCTTCTATCCTTAATCAGCTATTCAAGCCTCTACTGTGTTCCTTAAGTGATAGGATACGCCTTTACCTACAATATTGGCCTGCTTACCACTCCTTCCCCGTTTCCCTCTTATTTTCATCTTTCAAATCTCAAGTCATTTCTTCAGGAAGGCCTTCCCTGACTTATCCGTATTCCCAAATCCAACACCCTAAACAGCTCATTTTTCTGCTCTGTACATAGTTTTCGTATACTTTCTTCCACAGAAGCTATTTAATATTTTTATTTGTTGTTGTTACTAGGTGCCATCAAGTCGGTTCATCTCACAATGATGTCCCCAAGTACAAAAGAATGAGACGCTCCCTGGGCCTGCACCATCATAAAGAAATACCAAACATCTTTCCCCGCTCTAGCCACTAAGCTCCATAGAGGCAGGGTCTTCTCTTCCTATGGTCTGCCTACCTTTACATCTCCTCAGGCTCTACAGGTGCGTGGGACATGGCACATTAAGGACACAGGACTCCGGCGGGGGAAAAAAGATACAGATCCCATTATAGTACAGAAAGATGTTTAAAAAGAGACATGTTCAGAAAAGATGACTAATGGCTACAAAATTCACACCTTACATCATGATGGGCTGGGGGAACAGGCGATCATGAATGGCACTTGTCTTGTTAATCCACTAAGAATGGAAGCTTGAATAGACATGAGAGCTTTAAAAAGTTCATGGAAAAATGAAAGAGAATATTTCTTCTCATAAAACTTTTGAAGCTCCTTTTATTCCCCCAGAAAAAGTTCTACTGATAGTAATATCCTTCAAGGAGACTTCTCTTGCTACTTAACCACGGACCAGAGACAGAATAATAAAACAGGGAATATTCTGCTTCTCGTTTGACCCTGGAAAGCACTTCTGGAGGCAACTCTGGTTTGGAAATCTTTTCATGATGCATTTCAGTCCAAGGAGCTACCCTTAGATGTCAGGATCATAGTAAGAGTTCCAAAGTTGGTTACAATGACAGTGCCAGAAGCCCTTGGGATCTTGCTAGGTTGGAAAACTCCAAAAGCAAGAAATTTATTCTAAAAGCCACGTTGGAACTCACAATAAATTTAAAAAGAAAATAAAAGGGCATTCTAAAAAGAAAACAGAGGTCATTAAAAAGTTAACAACAAACAACTGGAAAAACTCAGGGTTTAGAAGAGCCACCACTATGAATTTCTAAAATCGGCTGATTGCTTTGGAGTTTTCAGAAGCCACTCTGCAATTAAAAAAGAAACCAACAAGCAAGAAAACAATGTGCATAAATGACAGGCTTTATTATGGAAGTTTAAGGTCACGAATAACAATCCTGGTCCACTGTCATGAATTAACTAATACCTCAGAGAATTAAACACTGAAATGTCCCACTTTTTTTCTACCAACTCTTTTCCCTAATTTACCCATAATTATCTGTGAATAGTAACACAACTGTGGATATAGGTTATAAAATGCATAAAAGATTCAAAATATAACTATCAAGGGCTCATGAGGGAGGGGGGAGCGGGGAGGGAGGGGAAAAATGAGGACCTAATGTCGGGGGTTTAA